TGTTATTTTTCCTTTTGCATGTTATGTATTATTGTTTTTTTTATACATTTGATCTTTCTCCTTCGACAATAGAAATATTTGTCCAGTGTTTCCTCACTAATCAACATGAACTGCCACAGTTTCTCATCTTGTATAACTGATTTTCTCCCACTTCCAGACCAACCTTGTTTTTTTGTTTTTTGTTTTTTTGTCTGTTTACTTGATTTGATCACATGGATCACTTCACTGTGTGTTTCCAAGTGATTAAATGTCTCTCTTTCTCTTTTTAACTGTAATTTTGTATTGCACTTGAGTGTATGACACGTACTCTGTATACAAAGTTTGACTGATTGATTGGTACAACAATACTTTGTAAATCAATAAGGTTCTGTATGTTGCATAACCAGGTTTACTGCTTCAGACTGAAAAAAATAACTGTAAAAAAGTTATTTCTATGAATGACCTTATGAACATTGCATGAAATCATTTTGTGATAAAAGCATTTCATATCAGTCGATGTCCATAATTATTGTTAATCTTTTGTTTTATTTATCTGAAATACTGCCAAACTGGTGGCGTGACTTATGCAGAGTTTTCACTTCACACTGTTTATTTTTAAGCAGTTAAAAGGCAAAGTGGTGAATCCTTAAACTACTGCTGGGCAAATTACTAAACAGGTTGTTGCTAGGTAACCAAAGAGGGAGTAAGTTAGTTGATGTAACATTTCTTAGCTGGCCGTGAGAAGTTGAGTAGGGAGTCTTTCTTGTGTCTACATCCCACAGAAATAAAAAGCTCATAAACTAAAGAGTTTTTTGAGTTGGTAATATTATTAGAAATGCTTTTGCTTTTTAATTTAAAAAAATAAATAACATTGTTTTCATTATTTGAACCAAAATCCATGTCTCTAGGGAAACCAGGCATCATTTTCTGGGCATTTTTCAAAAAATGTAATCCAATATCTGGATGCCAAGTTCCGCTTCAACCAGAAACTTTTTAAATCACTTAAATGCTGTTTTTAAATAAAAATATTTCTGTGAACTAAGAAATTAACAAATCAACTCAACTGAAACATGATTGTTAGCACATCAAATTACTGTAAAACATATTCTTTTTAAAATATTTCACGTTCACATTATTACAAGCTCTATAATACAGAAAGCTACAAATATCTTCCCAGATCGCTACAAGAGGTCTTTCCTGCCAACAGCTTTCACCATCTACAATAACTCTTTGAAGAACTTGAATTAATATGAGTAACAACATATTAATGAAGTATTTTTGAATTTGAAGTAGTTATTTATTTTACTAAGGTATCCATAGAGACTGAATATGCTATGTTTGCAGGGCATTTTTTGAAAAGTGGGTCAAATGTCTTGAACAGCTGGGAGTAACTGGTCCATCTGACTGGACCACAGAAACACAAATACAATGAGAGAAAACCTACTTCAGGTATTTTGCTTACTTGGAGTTGCCTTGGGTAAGTATTTACTTCTTTTCTACTGGTGATTTTTATTTTTTTTATTTTATTGATTTATCTTTGTAGTGTAATTCTGCTTGATGAGATAGTGGTTAGCGGTTAAACAGATGTGCTTAAGCGGAGTTTTTTCTAAAGCGTACATTAAATGCGAGTTTTAATACACAGATGAAATGTTTAATTTTTTAAAAGTATTTTCTCTTAATGTTACTGAAATGCAGCTTAATACACTACACCAAACCACTTCATGTCAAATTTTCTGATGACACAGCTATTCTCTGCCTCATTTCAGACACATCACATTTAACCTCCGACAGCAGATTAAAAACTGTCTTCAGTGTTGTGAGGAACATTTTCTGATCCTTAACATCCAAATATCACAGGAGCCTTGTGGAGATTTGGATTTTGTGTTACTTTTAGCTCTCTTGTGTGTTGTGTTTTCCCATTTACTGCTTAATTGATTCCACCTGTCTTCTTGACGGTAACAGCTGTGCCTCGTTTTCTGATTATGCTGCGTAGGTATTTAGTCTTTCGTTTCTTTATCCTGAGTTGCGGGTTTCTTGTCGATGCTTACGGTTATTTGGGTTACCATAGCGACCTGTTCTAGTAACAGGTGTCTGTTCGAAATCCCAATTGAAGTACTAAAAACGCTGCGTTTCCTCACCTCTACCAGCTGTGTGAGTGGTGGCATTCTTCTCAACTAGAGAAATCATGACAAACTGTCATGATCTGTGTTTCCGTGTATTTATTTTAAGGGTTTTCTGTGTTCAGTTTCTGTCCTGAGTCTCTGTTATTTCTGCGTCTTCCCCGTTGATTGCTTCCCAGGTGTGTCTACTTACCTGATTACCCACGTGTGTATTTAAGTCCATCTGTTGTCTCTGTCTCTTGTCGGGTCCTCGTCTACTTTCGTCTTTGTCAGCGTCAGTCTGTCCGTCGTCACAGTAGAACTGGTTAAGTCCTGTGTCGGCATCAGCTCTCGTTTCTCAGTCCACTATCAGTTGCTAACGGTAAATAGCTGTGTGCTATTCTCTCTGCCGTGCCACCTGCATTGGACTGTTTCGAGCTTCTCCTTATTAAATCTTCATCATCATCTGGGTCTCAGCATTCATCCTCACCACCACAACCATACAAATCATGACACAAACCTATTTTTGACCTATTCTTTGAAATACAAATTGACAACAAACTCTCATGGACTGCTCAGGTTGACTAGGTCAGTAACCGGGTCCAATAGCAACTACACTTTCTGTGCAGGTTGAGGGCCTCTTGTGTCAGTCGTTAGTTCAGATTCTTCAAAGACTTATTCTAGATCATAACAGCTGACAACACTCTGCCTTCCCAAGATAGTCTCATGAAGAGGACGGTCATTGTTGTCCACAATTTTCTTGATCCTCTGAAGAATCCTTCCTTGCATCATCATTTCCAGGGGTTCCACAGTCGTCCCCAGAACAGAACCAGCCTTTTTTATCAGGCTGTTGAGCCTTTTCAGTTCTCTGGCTCTGATGATGCTGCCCCAACAGATGATGGCAGAAGAGATGATGCTCTCAACAACAGACTTATAGAAGATCTGCAGTATCTTGCTGCAAACCTTGAAGGATTTTAGCTTCCTCAAGAAGTCCAGGTGGGATGTCTTCTGCAACAGTGGAATCTTCTCTTGGGTCAAGCTAAGGTTGAAGAGGTGCTGCAGAATCACACAAAGCTGCTCTGCACAGGCCTTCAGGACTCTGGGGCTGACACCATCTGGAGCTGCAGCCTTGTTCTGGTTCAGTCTCTCCAGTTGACTCTCGACCTGACTTCTAGAAACAGAAGAGTGGGAGGGGGAGGCAAAATACGCAGCACTATCTCCTGTTGTTGCTATGGTGACTTCTTGAGCCAATAGTTGATTACCAACTTTAAGAAGCCTGACCTGCCAATTCCAATTTTGAGTGACACCAATTTTTTGTTTTTCTCTGAAAAGTTGCTAAATATTGCAACAGTGGAGTACTTATTATTAATAGCAAATGTGCAAACATGACCTTGTGCATAAGTCTGTCAGTCAGATCTCTATTACAGCTGAGCAAACAAGGACAGAGGTCAGTTTTTATCTTTGTCATGGTGAATTAGCTCAGAGGATAAAATCAGCTTCACTGTCATATAGGCCCATCATTGATCTCCCAATATTGAGGAAATCAGGACCGATTTATTGGTGCACCAACACCAGCAATCCTTACATCATTTGATCTATTGGACATTTTTCATCGTGACTGTGAGACAGAAACTTGGCAGCAGCCGAGTGAATTCTTTCGCCTCAGTGACTTCGCCACGACAAGGTTTGTTTACGTCACCAAGTGCTGAGACTCGAGCTGTGGAGGGGTCTGGCAATGACCCACTGCGAGAACCGAAAGGTCTCACTGTGACATATGCCTGCCTTCCTCTCCTTTGGGCTGTCTACCTCTTTTAAGAAAGACTTTGCTGCTCTGATTGTCCATCTCTAAGCCCTCTCACCGAATGTCATACGGATTTTATCGTTCACGTTGATGATGCTGATCTTTCCTCCTCCAGTGTGTGTCCTTGGATCCACATCCAAGGACACACACTGGACCTTTTAAGCTGCTCTGTCTGGATTTACTCCTCTGAACTTCTCCTGATGATCTTCCTTTTACTGATTATTTGCTGCTCTCTTTTAATGTTAAACTCCATTGCTCTTCCTCCAAACTTTTATGGTCCCTCTCTTTCTGTTATATTAAAAATTTTGTTTTATCACACATTGCTGACCATTTCACCATTGTTCATACTTCTGACCCAGATGACCTTCTTTGCATCTGTAATAATGGCCTCACCAATATCCTTGATTTCCTCAATCCCTTGAAAACCCAGCCAGTGCACCTTGGTACACTCCTGAACTTTGTTCCAGGTTCCTTCTATACCAGTGGTTCTTAACCTTTTTTGAGGTACCGAACCCCCCAGTTTCATATGCGCCTTCACCGAACCCTTCTTATCCCCCCCCCCACCCCAACACCCCCCGCCGACACACAAAATACTTTGCGGTGTTCGGATTTAGTAATTATATTAGCTGCGTTACCACCCCCACGCCACTAGAGGCAGTAGCAACCCCAAAAAGATGCGACTAAGGAGCAGATTTAGACTATAGAATTTGGTAAAAATGGTGAGCTTTACTGAAGTAATTAAAGACACAAGTTCAAATCCATGTTGAGAGTGGAGCTCCTTCAATCAGTGCTCCTCCGCAGCTCTGATTGGCTAAGCAATGTAACGTGATCCTCTGCCTCAAGTGATGGCAAAGCAGGGCGTCATCACGACTTTACACAAGTGTGTCTTTATCCCTGTGGCAGAGGCTCCGCCGAACCCCTGAGACCGACTCATCGAACCCCTGGGGTTCGATCGAGCCCAGGTTAAGAACCACTGTTCTATACACAATAACCTTGGCCCCAACTCTTCTTCATGCATGACTGTTGAACTTATGTCCCCTCTGCTTCTGACTTTGCTGACGCTATTTGCCAGTGTAAAGCGTCTTCCAGCCAGCCCAATCTTTTTCCTACAGTTCTCGTCAAACCCTGTCTCACTTCTCTGCTCCCTGTCATTACTAACATCATCCACTCCTCTTTGTCCTCTGGTATCATCCCCGTGGCATTTAAATCCACAGTCACTACTCCTATCAACAACACTCTGGTCTCCATCCTTTGAACTTCAACAATCTCCATCCTATTTAACCTACCATTCATTTCTAAAGTTGTGGAAAAAGTATTCGCCAAACAATTGCATTTTCTGTCACTTTGAGTAGTAGTTGTACCCAATTACAGATATACAGAGACAGCCAATCAGTTTAATAAATCAAGGTTTAATAAAATAATGATAAATTAAACAAACTTACAAACTTATAAAGATATTTTCACCCTGTGGTTTGTACACACCAGATTCCAAAAAAGTTGGGACACTAAACAAATTGTGAATTAAAACTGAATGCAATGATGTGGAGATGGCAAATGTCAATATTTTATTCGTAATAGAACATAGATGGCAGATCAAAAGTTTAATCTGAGTAAATGTAACATTTTAAAGGAAAAATATGTTGATTCAAAATTTCACAGTGTCTACAAATCCCAAAAAAGTTGGGACAAGTAGCAATAAGTGGCTGGAAAAAGGAAATTGAACATATAACAAACAGACCAATTAACACTAATTAGGTCAATTGACAACATGATTGGGTATAAAAAGCTTCTTAGAGTGTCTGTCTCTGAAGCCAAGATGGTGAGAGGATCACCGATTCCACCATTGTTGCACAGACAGATAGTGCAGCAGTACCAGAATGGTGTTACCCAGCGTAAAATAGCAAAGACTTTTAAGTTATCATCATCAACCGTGCATAACATCATCAAAAGATTCAGAGAATTTGGAACAATCGCTGTGCGTTAGGGTCAAGGCCGTAAAACTCTACTGGATGCTCGTGATCTCCGGGCCCTTAAACGTCACTGCACCTCAAACAGGAATGCCACTGTCAAGGAATCAACAGTATGGGCTCAGGAATACTTCCAGAAAGCATCGTCAGTGAACACAATCCACCGTGCCATCTGCCGCTGCCAGCTGAAACTCTACAGAGCAAAGAGGAAGCCATTTCTAAGCAGCTCCACAAGCTCAGCCGTTTGCACTGGGCCAGGAGTCATTTAAAATGGAGGGAGGCAAAATGGACGACTGTTCTGTGGTCAGATGAGTCACGATTTGAAGTTCTTTATGGAACACTGGGACGCCATGTCATCCGGACCAGAGAGGACAAGGATAACCCAAGTTGTTATCAACGCTCCGTTCAGAAGCCTGCATCACTGATGGTATGGGGTTGCATGAGTGCTTGTGGCCTGGGCAGTTTGCATATCTGGAAAGGCACCATTAATGCAGAGAACTATGTTCAGGTTCTAGAACAACATATGCTCCCATCTAGACGTCATCTCTTTCAGGGAAGACCCTGCATTTTTCAACAAGATAATGCCAGACCACATTCTGCAGCAATCACA